TCGTCGCTACATCTACACCTCACTAATCGCAAACTTAGACTTTGCGCTTAACCTTCCTCCTCTTCTTATTAGCACCCAACAGCTTATTCGCAATCTTCGGCATCTCCATATCCTCCACGCCCTCCGGAATACCCCCCTCCTCCTCATCAAACACCTGCTGGATGATAGCCAGAATATCATGGAGTTCGTCTTCAGTGAACCGTGTGCCCGCCTGTGTGAACGTCAGCAACCCTCAACCCTCAATACCGAACCCAAAACTTGGAACAGAAAGAACTACTGGAGAGCAGGATACCAGGAGAGAAATAAACATACCTCCTCAACAATCAGTTCCAACGTAACCTGCGTCGTCGGTCTCAAATTATACAACTGCAGATACTCGGCTTTGTTCAACCGGTACTTGGGCGCCAACGCACGGAATAAACTATGGGGTCCGCGGTAGAGCGTTCGAGGCCGCGAGGGGTGCGCGTCGGCGAGGGAGGAGGTTGTGTAGTCTGCGGTTTGGAGGTAGGCGAGGCCCTGGGGGGTGGTGGATGGTAGGTTAGTGTGGTGGATTGGGTGGGTTGATGGTATGGAGATAGGATGGGTGGATGGATGGATGGATGGGTGGAAGGCGTACATCTCTCAATATATGCGTCAAACCAGACGTCTTCTTCCTTTTCCTCCCCGTCTCATCAGCACCCGTGTATTCAGCGTCTTCTTGGCGGAGGTGCAGGAGGACTTCGTGGTTGGAGAGGAGCGCGGACTGGGGGGTTTTGATCTGATAGTCTTGTTAGCAAATGGACGCAGGATGGCGCTACAAAGGGTTCTTGATGGGTTTGGAGGTATTGTGTGGAATGGGAAGGATGAGATGAGGATGTGGATGTGGAGGGTATGTCATGTGATTGAAATGGTGACCCGGAGAGATGGAACTTGAGTCTTGCATGGCGTTACTTACATGCATCCTGATGGTCTCGTGGCACTCGCGCACTACCGTGTTGGAATTGGAGCTGAGGTTGTCCGATGGCCACGAGCCTGCGCTGTGTAGGGAGTCCTAAACTTCAAGCGATATGCTTTCCCAGTATACTGAACTCAAATTAGTTATGTGAAGACACGTAAACGCGTCGTCGTCGCAAGACCATATGAAGATAGACGTAAATCCAAGCAGATCGTGCAAAACACCAATGTAAAATCACTCCTGCTCTTCTTGTACCCTCGTCCTGAAAATGCCTGACGAAAGTGGCTAGCGCCATCGCAACACGTGAAAAGGACCTCGGGAGCGCGTACCTGTGATGAGCGACCGTGATTTGCTCGCAAGCTTCTGAGAATGAAGAAGCGTGTCTAGTATTCGAAGCGGTGTGCACAACTCAGGTGCTTGAAGTTCCGTCTACATGATGCGTGAGCCAGAGCGACACCCGCAAGGTGAGCAAAGGGCAGTTTTTCGCGCTAGCGTCTTGGCAGACCGAGGGTAAACTTGCCAGAATGGAAGCAACATGTAGAACCACATTGTACAAGACTCGGAACGCGAATTTGGAGATCTTTACTGGGTATTATTACTATAATCACTCGCTATCTTTTGTACTGTTCCAGACAGGGCTCGCTCGTTCGTTTCATGCCGCTAACGCCGCGCAATGCTATGCGAAATCTGAGATCATCGCAACTGGAGATCATGATCGTCGTTTACCCGTAACTTCGTTGCCTCGCGCTCAATACTCAGTGCCGTCATCTAAAAGCGTAATCTTTCATCATGGTTCCCTCTGGGCTTTCGCCACCGCCTTCGTCTTCTTCACGATAAAGACACCAACTTCCACACCTTTCGTGGGCTCACCGTTATGGTAGTCCCGTTCCGATACGCCCTCGAGGACAGCCTGGATCAGTGTTGCAGCGCTCATCTCGGAGCTTGGGAGCTTTTTTGACTTGCTGAAGTACTTGGTGATTATCTCCCGTATACGGGGTTTCTCTTGCTTGATCCACCAATCGTCCGCCCAAGCTGACCGTTGCATCAGAATCTCCTCTTTTGCGGCGTGGATGACTTCATAATTTGCTCTTCTCTCATTGTTGTGTCGTTCACCCATTGCTCCGCAGAATTTCCGGACTTGCGCCTCCAAGTGGTTGTACTCGTCCAGGTAATTGACGGAACTCATTTGACCCAGGTTCCTTCCCAGCTCTGAGTGGAGATCGTGGACTACCGTTACGGTGCGTAAGAGTGGGTCGAGAATTGGTCCGAGGTACTGCTGCGTAAAGGTCCTCGCACCTGTCCTGGTCGGGTAGATGAATAGAAGGACGCCGTCATCGCTAGACAGCTCGATTAGGCGATCGTACAGCAAAGATCTACCCCGAAACGTGAACATCTCAGCGAACTCATTAGTGTTAGTAGGCGGAATGTATCGCTCTACAATCGAAACATTGATGCTCCCCGGTGGCACGACGGGTCGAGGCGATGGGGGCAGGAGTTTCGAATCGAGTTGATAGTCTGGAATAGCGACCGCGCTGTCAAAGACTTTGCTGGTAAAGTAAGAATCTCCTCCGACAGCAGGACCAGGCGTCGATGGAGGAGACTTTGGCAGATCCATGAGCGTGTAACGACCAGGAAGGGCGTGGAATACATTGATCCACGAGGTTTGCGTTGACGATCTGTCATGAATCGAAGCGATAACTTGGCCGAAGATGTGGCCTGATGTTGACGGACAAGGCAAGGCGTGGGACAGAATCTTGACTGAGTCCAACTCCAGACATCCAGATTCGTTTACTGAGCTAATTAGCGAACGGGACTATGCGTCATTCAGGTGCAGGAGGTACTCACTGATGGTGCTTTTTGCCTCTTCTATCCACGCTGCCATCCTCAGCGCGTCGCTGAACTCGTCGTTGAACTCTTCGTGGGTCGGTACAATTATAGGCGCTTGACTGGGAGCTGTAGCGCTGGCAGTGATGTTCAGATTTGGCGACACCCCTGGCTCAGAATTTGGAGGCGAACCCAGCCCAACCGTGCGTGGGTTCACAAAGGATCCCCAACTGATCGTCCCCGGCTCCGTATCCGAGGGAGGCGTGTGAGTGGACACAAGATGTCCGACGCGGGCTCTAGCTTCCTTGGGACTGGTAACGGGGGTATGACTGGCCCCGTTGGCGTGGCTGAAGAAGTCGAGTGGTGGGCTGAGCGCATGGAGAGGGTCTTCTGGCTTCGACAGAGGTCCAGCGCCTAGTGGAGAGAAGGAGTGGTGTGTTTGCTGTGGGATACGGTCAGGGTGGGGCGCAGCAATGCCTAGTACATCAAACGAGGGTAGACGCAGGTTGTGCGTACTCCTAAGGACCGTGGACGTGGGAAGCGAGAAGTTGCTTTGAGGAAGGTTGAGGGTCAGATCAAGCTGCGGCCGGTCCTCGATGGTGGGAGTCCTAAGAGGCTGGGGTAAGGCGGAAGCCAGCGGGAAAGGCTGCGGCAGAGAAGCGTCGAGAAACGAAGAGATATCGTTGGGAACCGCTATATCGGGGCAGGGACCCGCATCTATGCCCTCATCCGGAGTGGGTGGGATGGAGTTGGGCTGGAGCGCTTGGTGGGAGTCTTGGTGAAAGCGAGGAGGGGCATTATCAGCGTCAGATGGCTGTAGAAGATGTGACGAGGACTGGAAGCCCGTCATCATGACCAACGGGGTCTGAGATGTTTGCCGGTAACGCGCACAATCACGCTATGCTGGGTAAGTGGGATGAACAGACGCACGGAGACGTGGCTGAAAGATCTGGCGTCCAGGTACAAACGCGGTAGCGCCGCGGCGGCAGTAACGGCCGCGTGGGAAGTATTGACAGGTGGAAGGGGCTGGCGGTAAACGAGTGGATGGTCGCCTGGGGAAGACGGTCGCTGCGTCCAAGACAGTCATGTAACAGCAGAGCGACCAGGCCAACGCGGTGCGAGGGCCAGGTGGGCTAGGTTGGGTTTGCGGAGTGAATACCCGATGTTCGCTGCGGTTGATGCTAGCGTGTTTTGGAGGCCCAGGGTCTCAGCAGCTGAAATCTAGACCTCGCGGCCACAGCAATTCACACCAGCGAAATGGCCTGACCGCACCCGCTGCTCCCTGCACACATGGCAGCCTAGCTCCATCACCAGCATGCCCATCCATCGCTCCTCACGCTGCCGTTGTTTGGTTGTTTGCAGCGCCGACTGTTCGGTGGGTCGATGCCCTGCTGCACGACAAGCCGGGCTAGTCCTGAAGCTGTTTGATACGAATTGAACGCACACCCATAGGGCTCCCGTGGGGAGCCAGCGTACACGAGTACGCAGTACGGCGCCGCACCCTGCCAATCGCCTCGTAGAACGCAGCCAGTCTCTGCACAGCTCATGGCCAAAACGCACAAGTTTTCAATTCGCTCCACAGTCACCTACCCTCGCCAACGTTTTGGTGCGAGCTTACAGCGCGTCTTTGGCATGGGTCTGGCAAGCCTCCAAGCTATCTACCCGCAGTCACACAGTGCAGCCACACTCAGCTGCCGCGACACGCTTTGCCCTACAAGGCGAAGGGCCATGCGAGTCTAGGCTTCCCATCGAGATGTCTCTTTTGGCCAGCGGATTCTTGATTGTCAGCAATCGAAAACTGTGAAAACTTCTTTTTAGCTGGATGCAGCCTAAGTTAATGATCAGCGCCATGCTGCTTGTCACGGGACTTGCCGTTGCGCGTATTTTGATCTCGCCACTACCGAGCTCAGGGTTTATTCCATAGTTTACAAACGTAAAACTTCGCTATCAATTCTGCGACCGATCCACTTGTGCATTGACTGTCAGATGTCAGACTTTGCTTACAAGGTCCGTCCGACGATATGCCTTGCTCATTGTCTACGGCCAAGGACCAGCCGCAGAAACGTAAACACCATACCAAGCTTTTGTGCCTACGTACTACGAGAGCCCGCCTCGAGCTCTGGGGTCTTGTTGCTTTGGCTTGTTTCCAAGTACCTTCACCCTAGCTCCACGCTGGTCCAGCTTTATCCCATCGAGACACTTCCTCGGTCAACCGCCGCGCCACCATCGCCTTTACGTACACTCAAGTATCAAACTATCGACATTAGCACCAACGTAACACCAGAGTGAGACATGAAAAACATACCTGCCACTTCTGCAGTCCCTTGTCCCTTGCTCCTGGCGCACTTGAACTGGATTTTGATGCCATCTTCGGCTCATGCAGTTTCACGTACTCCTGCGCAAGCATAGGACATGCTTTCTTGTGCGCCTTGTAGTGCGCCTTCTGGCAGTCTTTGTTGCAGTACGTTACACTGTGGCACTTGATGCACTGCTTGAGCGTGTCCGGAGACTTCCCGCATTGCGCGCACGCCTGAGGCGGTGCGGATGATGATGAGGATGCAGACTCTGGCTGTGTGTTGGGTGTTTGTGACGATGAGGTTGATGACTCCGCCTGTGAGGTAAAAGCAACGTTTGGGTGGTTTGCCGAGTCGGCCATCTTCGGAACCGAATGAGTGAGGATGTCTAATTTGGAGTCGTGATAAATCCCAATTGCGGCTTCAATGTCGATGTGTTTCGCTGCTACGCACCTCGACAGATGCCAAAAGTTGAACGTGATCGTCATTTTGTCCGCAGGGATGCGCCTGAAGCGACTGCGCTAACCCAATTCTGTGATAGCTTGGAAAGCTAGCAGGTGTCCCGAGGTCAGTCGCGAGTGCCATCAACACTGCCATAACATATCCGCCGTGCAAGAGAATTCCTGATCATGTCGCCATTGACGGCAACAATTTATCGCTCCGCTTTCGATGTGGCAGATGCTTTTACTCGCATAACAAAATCATTGCGAAGTTGCGCGACTCCATAGAGCCTCGTCTCATCGCTCCTGCCGTCTCAACACTGTCAACACCAGCTGGACGAGGGAAAGAGAGGCCTAACAGGCTTTCACTCCTGAGTCGGTAGGTTCACAATGGGTTCGAGTTTTGGACAGTGTTGTCGACTTTGAGCCTGTGGGTGCTTCATGCACGGTGAAGCATTATAAGAATTGTACCAAGCACTGCAGTACCTCTTCTCCACACTAACATAGCTCGACAACAACCTTCAAGCACTTATTCATAACTTGCACAGAATCCATCATGGGTACCGAGATGTCTCATCAGCAGAACGACGATCATACATCCCAGTCGTCCCAGGATGGCTCACAGAGTTGCGAGATGTGGATGTTCGAACACATAGTTGATGCCATGACACAGTTAAGATCGATATGGACTGAGATCAACGCGCCTCCCCCGGCTACGATCGAGCGATACATAGTGTTGTCCGCCTCCGAAACACTTCACGATTCAGAATGCCCTATTTGCCAGGGGGACTATGACGAGGATCAGCATGTGGCTATCAAGCTTCTAGGCACACATTGCAGTCACGTTTTCGGCCGAGACTGCTTACAATTTTGGGTCAATAGCGGTATGCAAAAGGCCCATTACTGTCCTATTTGTCGGCAATGCATACGTGGCGCGCTTGGTGGACTACCCCCATCGCAGCCAGGCGCCGAAGACGAAGAAGAACGTGTGTATGAAGTCTTCTACGACGAAGAAGAAGAAGAACTTGAAGCAGAACTTGAAGCAAGACTTGAAGCAGCATTTGGACAAGAACTCGAAGAAGAACAAGAAGAAGAACAAGAAGAAGAAAATGAAGAAGAACATGAAGAAGAAAATGAAGAAGAAAATGAAGAAGAACATGAAGATGAAGAAGAAAATGAAGATGAACATGAAGATGAACAAGAAAAAGAAGAGGAAGAAGAAGAAGAGGAAGATGAAGAGGAATGGGAATGGGTATGGGAAGAGGAAGAGGAAGAAGCTGAACAGGTCATCAGTACGCAACAGCGTGAACAACGCGATAGGCACTGGGCCAACTTAACCGAAGTCAGCAATATTTTGCAAAACATCGAAACAATTGTTATTCCCCCGGTTGCGGCGGGGGGCCAGTTAATCTTGGCTCTTCAAGTCGTACCGACTATCCAGAACGAAGACCGCGCCCTCAGGGAAACACTGACTCGTCTCTGGAATCAAAGCCGTTATCTCAATGAGCTTCTGTGTATCAATTTCGAACGCAAGCAGGAGGAGCAGCAAAGGGAAATACTACGCGCTGAAAGGGAGAGGAACATACTGCGCGCTGAGATGATGCAATTTACCGCTAATTTCCGGAGGATGTAGAAGGGCAGAAGAGCTCATGTAAGGATTGATGAAATCGCAAGCTAATCACGATCATGAGATCTGGCTTGTCCCAGTATCCGGGGTAGACATCCCGTATCATTTGGATGCGAAATATTCATGCAATAAGCTTAATAATTGCCATCTTCCCATGTTATCGAGGTGTGAACATCTGTCTGTCAAACGATCCCATTGTGAAAGCACTTCTTGCTGAACTTTTTAGCAAATACCAGTGGCCTAAAGTAGCGAACCCATTGTAGCTGCAACTGTGATTATCACTAAGTATCCGCATCCTGTTCCCATCCAGCCAATCTCTATAATTCCCATGGCACCAGAGGACCTTATCTGTTGTCTGCGCTTCCCTTGAACAACCCAATCACCCCAAAGCTTCATGAAGCAATCAGCACTAACTTAATGAGCCTATAAATACACCCTGTACAACTCATCCTCCCATACCCGTCACTACCCCAAATCTCTCAAACACCCTCATCCCGCCCACGAAACAGCTGTCTACCCCTCTCACAAAAAGCACTAAAATCCCGCTCCCGCCGCTCCAACGCTTGACGCATCCTCCTCAACTCCCCTTCACGTTCCCTCAGACGGGCTTCGCGAGCATCCAGATTGGCTGAACGTCGTTGGAACTCGAGTGACTGGAAAGCATGTGGCGGCGCTGCTCTGTTCTGTTCGCCTTGGCGTGGGGAGTTTGTGGAGTTTGAATCGTCTGGGGGGTAGTTGAATTGTGCTCGATGTGGAGGTGCTGAGGATGGGGTGCGTTGCTGGCCGAACTGGAAGGGTTGGGGGGTTGGACGGGTGGAATGAGAGGGTGTGTGAGGCCCTGAAGACGCAGACTGAGGCGCTGGTTGTCCGGCTGTCGCTTGTCCTGCGGCGAGTGCAGCGTGGAACTCACGATGAGTAAAGACTGGCTCAGTGCGCCAGTTTCCGCGGTATGGAGTGTCTCTGGATACAGTAGGTGACTGAGTCGTAGGCGGACGGGGCTCAGTGCGCCAGTTTTCGCGGTATGAAGTGTCTCCAGATGTAGTACGTGACTGAGTCGTAGACGGACGAGGCTGATTGGTACGCGCGTAGGGTCGAGGTGTACGTGCAGGCTGTAATAGTGGCTCCGTGTCTCTCCCGGTAGAATCTGACATGGTTTCGCCCGCAGGGCCTTCGGGCACGCCCGCGAAGAGGGAAGGTGCGGAGTTGCCAGCTCTAAGAACTTCTGTGGCCTCTTCTGTCAAACGCCGACTGCGCGTCGAAAGGCTTTCATATTCAGCTCTGAACCATACGGCGCGACACAGCGGGCAGAGGTTGGTGTTGTCTTGCGTCTTGCGACGAGCGAGGATCTTTTCAAGGCAGGCTTGACAGAATTCGTGGTTGCACTGGGCGGGCGGCTGGACGACGACGCGCATGGCTTTGTGGCTACTGCGGTCGTATTCTTCTGTACATATTGGACAGTGGGCTTCTTGTGGTGGGTTGCGCTCGCTACACGGCTTCAAGCAACGGCGTATGAATTGGGCACAGGCCAATGGCGCGGTTGCCATGTTGATTGATCGTAGCGGAATTGGTCGTGTATCTCTAAGCGTTGGGGTGTAGAGCCGCCATCGCGGTGGTGTGAGAAGTTGCAGTCAGCTTTGGAAAGAATGAGAGGGTATGAAGTGGATCCGACGCAAACTTGCGCAACCCGGAGTGAAGAGCGTGGAATCCCCACGGACCAGTAGAGACCTGTGGAGAAGGGTAATGACGTAGCTTATGCTTGTTGGATGTGACCCAAGAAGATCGCAGAAGACATAAATGACATTGAGCTATTGAGTTCGCCGATTACGAAGGAAAGACTTGCAGTTCCTATCTCACCTTGCAGTGACGATATAGAGATAACAATGTAGCGCTATCAGCCTAGGTGGCTTCCATCCAGACATGCGCACAAGACGGCAATACCTCCACCTTTGACTACTGTTTCGAAATCATCAACAACTGGAATATGGAGAACCTGTGTGGCAGTCAGTTCACGATATCTGAGTCTTTCGCAAAATACTTACAATATACCAGCTAGGAAGAGATGCACTCTTTCCGCGTCCGCAAAGTAGACCATACAGCCCGATAACAGAAGGTTTGTCGACGCCATGACCAAAATTTGGGACATATCTCTTTCTTGTTGAGATATGTATGCAACAGCGGCAGGCACTAGACTAGCAAGCACTGCAGTGAAGAAATGGGTCCACTCTCTGAGAGTGCTGTCGTAAATTACTGGATTGCCACCGAACTTAGACTTTTCCAAGAATCTCCCAAAAATTCCGATTATGGTAAGTGACCGCGCGCAGACCCAATTAGTAAAGTAATCGCTGTATTCGCGGGACTTGAGCGAGATCAGGTCCGTAGCTGCAAGTCCATGGAACCGATCATTTTCGCTACAGTCTTCAGGAAGGCCATAAAGAGGCTTAAAGTGAAAAATCCAGTTATCTCGTGTAGCGCGAGACACGTTGTAGGATTTAATCAGGTCGATATCAAACTGATCGGGCGCTGCGATCTTGGCGAGCATACGTTGTCGCAGAAGTGCTTCTTCTACACGTGGGTTAGCGCCATATTCACACAGGTTCAATGATAAATTTACCGTATTTCTCAAGCTTTTCACGAATCTGCATTATGAAATGATACTGCTTGGGCTGTGGTGCGTCGGTATCCTCCATTGTATTCCAAGCCCAATCTGTGGCATATTTTTTGGTGATGCCGCCTTTTCCCTCTCTGAAATTGGTCATCACATTACGAAGCTTCCACTCAAGATAGTCGATCTCTGCTTGCATGAAGAGAAGATTCTGCACGCCGAGCGTTCGGTAGGTACGGAAAATAGCCCGCTCAGGCACGCGAGCCATGTATTCAGCCAGCCGTGGGATGCCAGCTGGGGAACTCTTATCCCAGTCGCCGTCTTCATCCGCGTCATCAGAGTTGTCGGGTTTTAGGGCTTCCTCGACGTTTTCGGCTTCCTTAGGGGTATTCAATTTGATTATTTTGTAGTCCGCCGTCTGCGGTGCAGTATCGCCATGTAGCTGACCAGCAGGCGCTGCGACAGACGAATGCCCTTTCCTAATCACAGATTTATCTGCGTCTGTACTTGCGAGGCTTACATGAGGTTGTGGAGAATAAACCGGAGTGTGACGAAGCGGCGGGTAATCCGGGTGTGAGGGGTTCAAGACCGGTAGCTCGTCCACAGAACGTTCTGAATCAGGTCCATCGGACGTAGCTGGTCGGATAGGTCCATGTGTGGCGTTATCGACATGGTCGAGCTCTGGAGTTGGAGATGTAGACATGGTAACTATTTGTTAGTAATGGATATAGTTAATGATTCTCTTGTAAATAGTAGAACCTATGCTGAAAAGAGAAATGACCTGCCGGAGCTGTTCTTATATGAACTAAGTACGTCGCAAACGCAGCAGTATGACAACACCATTGAAGAAGATGAGCATGCAGATGACCCCAATTAACAAGAGTGATGATGTCGGCGTACATTCCATGGTACCCGCGAGAGCCTCGTGAATGTACGCCCTACAGGTGTACCCGGCTTTTGTCACAGGTAGGGCTCTGACAAACCGATATCAAGCATGTGTGAAGATATCTTGCTCCACGAAATCTTGTGCCGTCGAACGTTCTGTCTCGCAGCGCGTACGTGCGCCGTTCGGTCCGTCCTGTGGGAAAATCCGGCTTCACTGATTATGATGGCGTCGCCATTGGTCGTAGCCTTCTGACTCCGAACTAAGACATCTCGAGGCTAGGGAAATACTTCACGGTATATGTAAACAGACACATGTTGCAAACTCAGAGTTGCTGGTGAAGTATGCAGCTTCCGCGTTGGCTACTTCCATCAGGCCCCGCTATCGCGATTTTCTTGAGGCCGCTTCCGTAAGTCTTCGAGTGCTGATGTTTCTGCATGGTCAATTCGCAATTGCGCTTGCACATAGAAAAACGCGGTAGAAGGCAGGTGAAGCTCGATGGAAGATGAGGAAGGATGCGGCATCTGACCACTGGTGTAGCAGTGGCAACGTAGGTCTGGCGCTGGATCGCGTGAGCAAGGGCAGTCAAACCAGCCCTGTACAGTTCTGCGGCGAATGAAAGGTGGAAGAAGACGGGAGTCTGATGTGACAAAGTGCGGATAGAAGAAATTGATGACATGACGCGCAGAGTGGGGAAGAGCTTCCCGAGCCCAGCCACGTGCCAGCCTCCTCACCTTCCAAGGTTGCTATGAACATTGACAGCTTGTCGCATATCACAACAAAGCGCATAAAAAAAAATTCTCAGTCATAAGAACTCCACTGCAAACATTGGTAAAGCCAAACTCTGACTTTGTGTGAAGCTTGGGCAACTACCTGGATGCGAAGATCATGTTGTGGCATCATCTTGATATCGCATGTGCTCTTCTTCTGCCTGTCGGCAAGACGATGAAGCTATTCAGTCTGTAGGGAGGTATATACTTGATACTGCACAAGCTTCTCTAGGCTCTATGCGCTTTGCGTCGAAGTCCACTACGCTAGCAACAGTCTACCTGTCGTCTCGCTCCCACGTCAGCGCTCTCCATATCACCAAACGCTCAAATCTGCCGAGTACGGACTTCGTGAAAATTTCGCTGTAAGACGGATGGTATGCGAGATTACAGTATTCGAATGTGTCCTGGTAGGTGTCAGCCTACGCGAAGTCCGACGCCCGTTCAACATACGCGGCCTTGGCGACTACATTTGTTCGAGCTGACTTGAGGAAATACGTAGACCACGGAAAATGGCTGAAGTAGTGGGAAAGGTTGCTGTCTGACGAAGTGGCTTGTGAATACACGTGGTCTTACAAATCATGAACGGAGCTTACTAGGTACGCGTACAGTGCCCTGCTTGGAGCAGCAGAAGGCGTCTTAGAGGCGCATACTCAGTGTACTCCGTGGCTTGCCAAACGTGTAAGATACCTGCGGGTTTACGCGTCAAACCACTGTCTTCTTTCCATCCAGCCTCAAGTTGACGCGTTCGAAAGCTCTGGAGGACTATATATCCCCATCCTCATCCTATCCCACCATCTCATCAACCACCAACTTCTGCCTTCACACCAAGCCATCTCTTCTTCAACCACCATCATGAAATCGCTCATCCTCCTCCCCCTCCTCCCAACCTCCCTCGCCCTCGTAGCGCCCCTCAAACGCCTCACTCCCGACCTGCATCCCCGCGCCGCACACTGGGGAACAAAGTCTTGGTCCAACACCCATACATCCCTCACCCACACCATAACCGTGACGACCACACTGACCGTCACCGTCACCGCCTTCCCCACCGCCAACGGCACGTTCCCCAACATCACTACCACCGATGTGAGCGCGCCGGCGACGACCAGCGATGATTTTGCACCGATCACATTGATCACCCTGCCTACTGAGGTGGCGACCACGACGGGAACGAGTGATGGTCTGGCGCCGATTACGTTGATCACGCTTCCTACGGCTACGGAAGATGGGGATGCGGCTGCAGCGCCTACGCCGAATGATCTTGAGCCGATTACTTTGATTGATATTAGTGCTGTTACGCCTATTTAGATGGATTTGGGACGAAGTGGTAAGGTGAAAGAGGAGGCAGTAGGGTTATGTGGTAGATTGGCATGGTTGCGGGAACTGGAGACAGAGAACTGCTGAGTTGGTTTCGAGGAAGGGGTCGTTTTGGCGTACATATTGTTTCGCTACTGTTCTTGCAACTTCACACTCTTTTGATGTATCGATTCAGTCGCTCGTTTGCCAGTCTCGTTCATGTGCGTGATTTGTGTTAGTTGGTTAGACTCACGTCTGGGGTGTTCAAGCAACAAGTAACAATGGAACGGTAGCTGGAGTGAGGGGTCTAAACCAACTTTGTGCTTTCTCATACCGTATCAAGTATCGGCCTGAAGCGTACCTAGAAGAAGACTGAGGCCAAGAACTCATGCCGTCGCCGTCCCGCAACACACGTTTGGAAGGTCGTCAATGACAGCTTTCAAACAATTCCGTCGCACTCAACCTCATACTGCTGCTAACCTTACTTCCCCTCCTCACATGCTTCGACGCAAACGCCCTGTCACAAGTTAGCACTGCCTTCACATACAAATCAACACTCAACCACTTACACATCCCCAACAATCTTCCTCAAAACCAGACTATCCACCCACTCGCCCTTGATCTGTGTCTTCTCCTTCGTCAGGCTATGTCTTTCAAACCCCAGCCTCTCCGCCAACTTCCAACTCCCCTCGTTCCTAGGATCACACTCAATCTCCATCTCCAACTTCCCTTGGTTCTGCAGTCGTTCTTTCAGCGCATCGATGAAAGCAGTCATGGCTTCTGTAGCGTAACCTTGGCCTTGCATTGACGGCAAGAAGGAGAACCAGAGTTTGGCGTGGGTGACGGGTTTGATAGTAGATTCGCCTGGGAGGGAGTCGGAGTTTGCTTGAGAAGTTTTGGCGCCGACGCGGCCGATGAATTGTTCGTCTAGCGTCTCGACGGCGAGTTCGTACTTTGTTCGCGGCACGTCGTTGTGGTTGCGGATGTTTTCCAAGACGAGCTCACGAGCTTGTTGGCGTGTTCGTGGGGGCCACTCTTGGTAACGTGCGTTTTGATCGTTGCCTTCGAGAAGAAAGTAGCCTTCCTCGTCCTTCATTACGAACTCGCGAAGGAGCAGGCGGGGTGTCTTGATGGCACCGAAGCGCTCGCCTTTCACGTTTGCGCGAGCGATGGCTGCGAGTTCCTCCTTGGTAAAGGCACCAGAGGCTTTGAGAATCCTCTGAATGACATTCCCCTTGGCGACCATGTAGTCGACGATGTTGTTTGCTTTTGCCGCGAGTTCAAGCTTCACACGCGCGTACTCATCCCTCAAGTCGCTGTCAGAGCGAAGCGTATCCCGCAAGCTGAGGTGGTTGCGCGTTTGTGCAACACCGTCAACACACAAGTAAACGTTGTGGCGATTGGACTGATTGGGGTCTTTGAAGGCATGACGGTCCACAATCCCCAGCTCTCCTAGGTAATCGAATTTCCCTTTCTCGATGAGAGCGTCGATAGCAGGCTGAACATTGTCGCGAGTGACTATGATGTCAACATCGATGATAGGTTTGGCGACAAGTCCCGGTACTGATGTACTACCCACGTGCTCGATCGAGAGGTAGTCGATGTCCTGTAGGTGATGTTCCAACTCCGACTTGATATTTTCGAATTGCTGCGGCCATTCCTTGTTGTATTGCTCAATGATGACGGACATACTTGACGATATGAGGGAGGCGTATAGTAAAGCAACGATCAAGTCAGTGGTGCCTGGTAGAGTTGAACAGGTGAATGTGTCGGCTAAACCTACCGAGCTTGTGAAACGCTCTCGCTTCTCACCCGGGCGCGCCCGAGGGGTGCAGGAGCAAGAATGTCGGTGTAACAAAAAGCATGAAAAGAGCGCAGAGACAAGCAAGATAGCGGAAACCCGAGATTGAGGTGGTACATAGAGCCAAGATGCCGCTTGCGCACAAAGGGCGAATGCAACGCGGAGATACGGGCAAGACTCCGACCCGCTTGCTTTGATTGCGCTCCAGCCTCCAGACTTGTTTGAACTAATCATACTCTTCAATCTTGATCACAGGTATGTCTGCGTATGGCGGAGGCGCATCTCGGCCCAACAGAGCAGTCTCGGCCTCAGAGTCTGTGCCAGGCTTTTCCTGCTGTCTCTGCAGAAACAGGCGACGTGCCATGACGAGGCTAGCCGCAAGCAGTGCAAGGAGCGGGAGAAGTAGGGCATCCTTTCCAACCTGTATTCTGCCAACAAAAGCGTTCCAGGCCCTCGACAACGTGCCAAATCTACCGTACTCGTCCCACTCACGTGGATCAAACGTTGTTCGCACCATGGCCAGCTTGCCACACTTCATCCTCGGCGGTGGCATCTTGCCCTTTGCGGAGACGACTAGTACTTCTTCGATGGAGAGTATATATCCACCTTCCAAATTCTCATCGTGTTCCTTGCGCACCAAGATCTGAACAATCCTCTGACCCAACTTGATTGGTTCAGCGGTCTCTCCCCATGGCAAGCCAGTCGCATTGAACTGGAGCCACCAGAGTTCTGGTTCGTCGGCGCGGAAGATTGTATGCTCATATTGTAGGGGAAACAGTATCCTCCGGTGTCTGTTGGGATTTGTGCCGTCTTCGGAATCCGCATCCGTCTCTTCCTGCTCCACCTCGGTGATGACCTGCTTCGCGTTTATGTTGAGAGGCATGGGATCGAGAGGGAATATGCGCTGGTCGTTGAGAAGTAACGCATCGTTGAATTCGGTCAAGACGAACTTGAGCAACTGATCACGGTCAGTCGTATTCATTCTGAGCGCTGTAGAGTGCACTTACTAGAGAGTTCTTTGGTGCCGGATGCAGCCATTCTGCCTTATGAGGACTCGTCCAAGCACGCAGCGGGCATCCCACGCATTCCAGCTTCACCGTGTATTCTCGGCCAGCCTCCTCTTCAATGACTTTGCTGTGGTCCGATATTGTCGGACGAGTGATAGCTGCGGTAGCCAGCGCCGAGAGACCGAGAAAAGCAAAAGGACGCATGGTGACGTTAACCGAAGACAAAAAGGAAGAGGAAGTCACGACACAGCTCAAAGAAGTGATGTTCGCACAAGGAGGCGGGAGATGGCCGACGATGCCGGGCGACGCGTACAAGCCTCGGGCTACGGCAACGCTAGCGCAGGGATCATCAGCGTGGGAGCGTGGGTAATGCTCATTCTAGAAGCCTGAAGCTTGTTTCCTCCTATACTTGTCTTTGCGTACAGACCGCGCATGCCGTACTTCTTATTTGCGCGACGGTGCTGTTCGTGTTTACAAACATGTTGGCTCGACATGCAGTCGTAAGGTCGTCGACCCATCTCTTACACATGCACTCCGCGTGAGCATCGATGTCCTGAGGGCGCAATGTAGAGAAAGGTGGGTCCGGCATTGCTTTCACTCTCACGTCAAAGCATGGTAAGGTTGGGAAGTTGTAGTCAGAATGGTCATGGAGCAAGGTTCGCATTGAAGGACTGGGCGCCAGTTAAGTACAACCCGATCGCCAGCACAGGGCTTTCCCCCATACATTGTATGGATATCTTTCCCTCATAAGCGCGTAGCATTGATCATATCCCTCAACACGTCCCCTTCCAGACATAGCATGATTGTATCTTTGAGTCGTTGTCAAATGGTCTCATATTTCCTTTTCCTTTTTACTCCTACGCCGCCGGCACATGCCAGGTTGTCAAAGACAGGGTATGTAAGAGAAGCATCGACGAAACGGGTCAAGACATCTACCACTGAGTAGTGGTAGCGGGGGCAGCGGTCTCGGCACCCCAGCCCTCGTTGCCAGTCTGAGCATCACCAGACGCAGCCCAGTCGGCAGTGTCAGCGTCCCAGCTGGTGCCGGGGGCAGCGGCAGCCTGGGCGGTGAAAGCACCGGCAGATGCGCCGGAGACCTCCCACTCGCTGGTGAAGCCATCAGCGACGGGGCCAGCACCGACCTCGTCGGCACCGGGGACCTTGGCCTCCTCGACACCAGCGCTGTCCTTGTTCTCCTCAGCCTCGGGGTCGCGGTAGAAGTACAAGTCAGTCATGACGTCCCACTCAGTCTCGCGGTTGGCGAGGGTACCGCGGAGGCGGAGGACCTCACGGGCAAGCATCCACCAGATGAGACCAATGGCGTGGCGTCCCTTGTTGTTGGTGGGGATAGCGACATCGACGTACTCGGTGGGGGAGTCTCCGTCACAGAGGGCCTGTTCTAGGTCAGTTTCCCAATCCTCTTCCTGATTCTACACGAGTTGCTTACAATGACGGGGATGTTGACGTAGGAAGCCTCCTTGATGGCCTGCGCGTCGGTGCGGGGGTCGGTGACGATGACCAGGCGGGGCTCACGGAACGAACGGGTGATGTAGTTGGTGAAGTTACCGGGGGTGAAGCGACCGGCGATGGCAGTAGCACCGGTGTGGGAAGCGAACTTCAGGACGGCACGCTGTCCGTAGGGACGGGCAGAGATGACACAGACTATTCACTCAGTGTCAGCCAAAGTCGCATGTGCCAATATTCGCATCTTTCAAGATTATGCATCTCGAATTGCGCGAGTGAACGTACTGTCGGCCGGGTTGTCAATGGCGACAATGATGCGCGCGGCGAGGACAATCTTCTCCCAGGTCTTGCCAATGTTCAGGACGTTGACACCGTCGGGCCTGGTCTTCCACAGGTAAGGCTCCATGTGCACCTGGAGGTTCTTGGAACCGAGGTGGCACTGAGCAGCGAGGAGCATCTCAATGTCCTGCTGGGTGGGGTTGAAGATGGCGGGGAGGTTGGAAGGAGCCATTTTGACGGTTTGGCGCTGTACGAGCTGGTCGGTATACAGGAGTTGTCGGGTTGCGTGCGAGAGACTGAGTCGACGAACTTTCGTGTTCGCGATATTCGCATCGTGGTGGGAGCGCCTAGCCGCAACCGGACTGGCGCAATGACGCGCCGGCATCGGCAAAACCAGTCGCCGGCCATGGATCCGCAAAAGATTCGAGGGTGGTGGCAGCGAGAGTGCAGCCAGCAATGCCGCCGCGAATACCTGCCCTGTCGTGCCTGCGGGCGCCGACGTGTATGTACAGGCTTTCATCGATCACCCGCCATTCATACTGACCTCTCCCCAGCTTTCCCGACCACCAATCAACTCACCCTCCCCATCCGAACTTTCGCCTCCACATCGCACCTCTACGCCGAGTCAGCCGAGCGACAGAAGAAGCGCCTCGCAAACGATCCCTATATCGTCGCTCAGCGGAACAGGAAGAAGGCTGCCAATCTCACGCGCCGCGCTGAGCTCGAACAAGGCCGTGTAGCGAGTCTCGGAGACCCAGTCCGCGGTGTTGCAACACCATTCGTAGAGTCGTTCGACACTGGAAAGCCAATTACGTACGAAGAGGGCAAGAAGATACCCAAAGACCGGAAACACCTCAACTATGCCTTCGAGCCAGAGACTGTCAGGCAACAATTGGACAGGAGCAAAGACTTGGCTGTTCCGCTGGGTATAATTCCAGAGGAGACCACGGCCCCGACAACTAAATGGTCCAACTCTATATTCGGCAAGACGCAGGCAATCCAATTGTCGGCTGACGAGATCGAGGAGCAAAGCAAGAAGGACCATGCTCGAGCCGCTGAGGCCATCGCCCGCATCACCGCTCTCGAAAACGGATCGAGCAAAGACCGCATGCGCGTGAACATCACACGCTGTGTAGAGACATTTGGGCGCCACAACACCGATAGGATATTCCCACCCAAGGCGCCATCGTTGAGCCGGTCAGGTGCCGAAGAAGTCCGCACCGTGCGCCCAGAAACAAACGTTGCAGCGACTGCAAAGCGCGTCGGGCCTGATACTGGGTCGTCCGAGGTCCAGATTGCCATCTTGACAGCAAAGATCAAGACCCTGGCCGACTTCTTACAAGCCCGAGGAAAGGGCGACAAGCACAACAAGCGGAATCTGCAATTGCTGGTGCACAGGAGGCAGAAGTTGCTACAATACCTGAGACGGAAAGAGCGAGGTGGTCCGAGGTGGCAGCATTGTATCGAGACTCTTGGGCTGACTGAAGGTACCTGGAGAGGCGAGATATCGTTGTGAGAGCAAATGAATAGTTTTTTCATCGCCCTTCCATCTCACACTCTTCACGTTTGCATCGACGGATTGTAGATAAATGCATCTGCTTATTATGAGTATTTACGCACATGTATATTATGGGTTGTCACAGCACCCTTGTAAGTATACTGCTAAACGAGGTGGATCAATCCATACCCGTGCCCTCCGTATCGCCTTCCCACCTTCCCATCTCAGTAAAGTCTAATCTCGCATCACCTCCCCCAGCTCTTGCGACTATGAAGGGCGCAATCACGTGAAGGGCGCAAGTCTCAGGCGTCCACGAAAGGACACATCAATCTATAAGACGATCCTACCATAAGGCAGCAACATTACCAACGAATACATCCCCGCAGGCATAACACTCTCGTAAAACCACATCCTTCCCTGTAATTCCGACAGGTTTCCACTGCTCCAAACAACTACAATAATGTCATCCCCATCCCCAAACCCTCCACCCCAGCCAAACCCCTGGTCCAGCCAACGCCTCCACTACCGCGCAATCCGCGCCTGCGACATAAATGTCTTCCACGCCTTCAGCGCCGACCACACCGGCTACGCAAACAGCAATTTCGACAACATCAAACTACCCGGCCCTGCCGACTCCGAAAAATTCATGAAAGGCGTCCAAAACGACTGCCTTTTGGGCGCCATCATCTGGCTACCCCACGCCCCAGAAACGACTGCTCTATGTGACGAAGACCGTGAAAAGGCGTTCGCGACAAGGAGGAAGCAGGGGGAGATCGTGGATGAAGAATATGGAACGGCTGTAGGCGAGATCCATTTAGATTTGTTGCCGCCGCATAAACAACATCACCGCAATACGGAGATTGGGCTTGATATCTTGCCAATGTATCAGGGGAAGGGGTATGGGACTGAGGCTATTAGGTGGGCGCTTGATTATGCGTTTAGGCGGGCAGCCCTTCACCGAGTCAAAGTGAGGGCGTTCAGCTATAACGCCGGCGCCCTCAGGCTGTATGAGCGGTTGGGGTTTGTGGTCGAAGGGAGGGAGAGGGAGAGCGTGTGGTATGACGGGAGGTGGTGGGATGTTGTCACATTGGGCATGCTATATGGGGAGTGGGTAGGGTTGGTGCATGGATGATAATGGCCGAATATAAAGACGAGAACCTGTATCTCCCACGCGTCCTTCTCGTGACTCAAGGCGATATATCGTACTGCAACCCCCCTCTACTAACATCCCTGATCACCATCGTCGCATTATTCGCCCGTTTCTCCGCCGCATCATAAAGCGCCTGAATATCCTCCTTCCACATAGTCTCATTCATCCTCACAACCTTCCTATCATAAGTCATCATCCCATTAACCTCCCCCTCCACATCCGTAGTCTGCGTCCAGACCCCACCCGAGCAAGCAAAAAGATCAATCTGCTCGCGCAATTGGTTGAGCAAATCGTGGCAGCGATAGTTCCACCAGTTCGTTCCGTTGGTAAGTTCGTATGCGGTCTGCTTCTCTAGGTCTTTGAACCAGGCGTGTGCGTAGTTGTCTTCGGGGAGTTGGGTGCCGATGCCGCCGAATTCGCCTTGCAGACCGATGCGCGAACTGTCGTAGGCGGAGTCGTAGTTGTTGCCTTGGCGGGACCAGAATGGCGTGCCGCATTGGGGTGTGGAGTAGTGGTGGTTGTCGTCGAAGTCGCCGGCTGTATGGTCCGTCCAACCACTGACGGAATTGACTAGGCGAGTGGGATCGATCTTTCTGACCATCTCCGTCAATCCAAACTCGGGCCACGGAGGTCCGCTCGTACTTTGACCCCATTCCTCGTTGTAGATTGTCCAAGCAAAGATACTGGGGTATGATTTGAGCTGCTCTACCATCAAAGCCAGCTGTCGGTCAAACTCGTCTTGCGCATCCTGGCCTGCTAATCTCTTACTGCCGCAGCCGTCCGGTAGGTCTGGTCGTAGAGAAGGCATGTCTT